AGATTTTATCAAATACTCATAACTCATAACTTTAGAAGAATGATCAACAGCTCAGCTTTGTTTCTGGTCTTTGATGAAAATGCTTTTCTAAATCTCTCGGGGTAAAAGTTTTATATCATGCTTGTTTGCTTTGTAAAATACCAACTATTAGCACATATATGATTAAATATTAGGATAGGAATATTTATTTGTTATAAAATATCAATGTTCTGGTACTACTGTTTCAAACTGAAAAAACAGAAACTGACCTTCACTGTGATGCTGACTCTGCTTGTGTGGTTCTCAGCCATTTCAAAGAAAAACAATTGGGCTCTTCTTTAGGATGGCAGAACAAAGTCGGAGATCACTACCAACAGAAAAACATATTTTTGTGACTTAGACAACAGCTAAAAAAAGAACAATTGCTGTTATTGTGCAGATTTGGTGCTAAAAGAATCATTTTGTTTCAATTTTGATCAGAAATTATTGCGCTCTATTTCACATCACGGCTGCTACTCAGACAAAGTGTGTGTTTGTTTACAGTGTGGGCACAGTGCGGTCATGGTAGGTACTTCCAGGAGGGGGCGGGTAATTGCTGTCCAATGTTAAATGATCAAGACCAGCTGTTCTTCCAGGGTATAGAGGAGCTGCTGCTCAGAGAGAGTTCCTGAGGATACCCAGACATGCATGTATCAAGTTATGCAACTTAAGACATGGTGTTGATGAAAGAATACCATTATCACATAGCTTAAAGTTTACAAGTAGATTTAGCATGATAAATCCCCCTTTAAGGACACTGTTAACACTAGGAAGGCTATAACTGCCATAAATGTCCTTGAAAGTTGTTAAATGAACCACCAGAAGATTGGGGATAAGGTTCTTATTTTGCCAGATTTGCCCATTTCCCCCCAGACTTCAGTGTTCTTACTTCTTTAACCGATGTGGGCACATGCTATTGATTCTTACACAAGAAGATAAGAGATTAGTAAACTGGTAAATTACTGAAAGGTGGATTGTTAAAATGATACCTCAGTATGAAATGGAGATATTGTTATAACTGTGACTTCTATGAATATACTGGAACTCACCTTAGAGAAGTCATGCAGTATGGTTCTTCCAGCTGCTTGGAAATGATCAGTTTAGTCGAGTCTTTAACCTTGACCCACTCAATCATAATATTACTTCATGGGTTCCCACAGGGTCAGCCATTCTTTCACTCTCACAGTGATCAGAAACTCATCACAGGGGCAGTTGACTTAAAAATACCTCACTCCTTCTGCAAATGATTCGTTTCTGGGAGATCAAAACAGCTGAACTTCTCTTTTCAGTAAGGGACCTCCAAGAGGTTTTTTTTTTTTTCTTGTAATAAGAGAGATAAAATGAAAGAAGATTGCAGAAAGGAAGGTTAATCTGTTCGACCAGCAAAGCCAGACGTTATCAGAGGATACCACTGTGAGATTTGATTGAAACATGAACACCAGTCACATCAGTTTAGTTCAAATGGTTTTTAATCTTGTTATGAGGTCTTATAGCAAAAAATACACCCTGTTTCAAGTCAAAGGTTGTTTTTATACTTTAACCTGATACAAATCGTCAAGAAACACACAACAGATTCAGATTAACAAGACATTAAAAAAAACACTTGCATTTATTGATCTGTAGCGGCTGTGAATAGCTCAATTATCTTAAATGAACAGAACCAGACCCTTCAATACAAGAGAAGTTGTCTGATTATTTGTTAACAGACTGCCAAGAAAAGCCCTTTGTTTGCATTAAAAATGTTAGTCACATTGTAAACAATTTAGAGATCTTTTAATCCTTTATTAAAAGAACCTCTTAGAAATTAGCCGTGAGGTCAGACTCATCAATACCAACAAGCTTGATTCACACACATTCGTCTTCATTGAGCATGGAGGACATTGTAAAGTTTTTACAGGTTAGGTAAATATCTAATAAACTAATAGGACTTGTTTGGAAGTAAAAAGCTCCCCTCTCACTGAAATGAATATGACAGCATGGCTTCTGGAACAAATTTATTTCTAAAGAGACGAGACCAAGTACGGACATTCTGTGATAAGAGACAGTTCTGTCTCTTATCACCAAAAAATCACTATTAAAATACAAAAATTGTTTATGAGCACAAACACCTCATAATACCTGCCAAGCATGTTGGTAGAAGGGTGCAGCCTAGGGTCTTTGTTTCTGGACACAGGCGTTCATAAAATGTGTGTAAAATTTATACTACAGCTAAAGCTCAGCAAAGTTACAGTAGGCCATGCAAGCTGTGTTGTTGGGTCTGAAAATGACGACATTAAGATACTGCTGCTCAATTTGGCTCTAGAGATTGTCAAATCCAACTTGACAGTTTTCTCAGTTTTTTCATCTTAGCTTTTTTGACAGATGGATAAATGGATATGTTTTAGAAACCGGTAAGTTTATTTGTCCCAAAATAAAATAAAATTCAGTTTTCTCAGTCTTTCCTAAAATAAAATCTACTCCTTCTGTCTCTAGTTCTCTTCTATTGAAATATTGGCCTGTGTAATTGGATGGAAAGCTGAGATAATACTGTGGCACACATACCTTTTTTCTCTGTGTTTACTTACAATCTGAGGCTGGTGAAAAGAAATTAATTAAGTGAGACGATAGTAGCTTAAGGTAAATAATTTGAGTGCCAACATTTTACATTATGTTGAAATGCCCTGCAATCATCAAGTTCCCCTATGTATAAAATGGTTGTTTTTAAAATGCTGCAATTTATCCAAGGATAAAAAAATAAGTTGTTGGAACATACAGTTATTAAATTTGCCCTTACTGTTTCTCCTATGCTAATACTTTGTATCTACTTGTTTGCATTCGCCTTTCACTCTGATGCTGTCACACCAAATTCCCCCACCATGCAACACTAAGGGATATTTATATTCCATCCTAATGCTTCTTGCATATGCTTCATGCATATTTAAAGAAAAATGTTTTCATCAGCATGATTAAAGATGGATTTCTCTTGCTCAGTATTTTATGCTAAAAAATTAAATAAAAAGATGGTCATTAATCCCTTAAGACACTGTGCTAAGATCATTGGCCACACTCTGAATGGATACTCTGGATACTCTTTTATAATTTTCCTAGTAAGGTGGTGTGAGAAGGGAATTGGTTGGACTGGATTTTATTTAGATGTATAAAGAAAAAAGGGGCAAAAAAATTAAAGAAATACACTTCCTTTCCCTCCCCTTTTTACAGTTATGTGCTACTTTTTTAATGTATAAAATAAAAACCATAATATAGTTTGTAGTTAAAACTAGAACTGCAACTAGTGATTATTTTGGAAATAGATTAATTATTGGATACCTAAAGGTTCCTTAAAGAAGATTTTTGTGAAATTAAGCCAGGTGAAGCTAAAATATTTCTACTTGAGGAGTTCTGGACATAAAATATTGACAGACAAAATTATTTATTTTTTATCTTACATGCCTATCCATCCATTCATCTGTTTCCGCTTATCAGTGTTGGGTCGTGGGGGTAGCAGCTTCAGTAGGGAGGCCCAGGCATCCCCCATCATTTGGGCCATCTCCTCCAGGGGAATCCCAACGTGCTCCCAGGCCAGCTGAGATACATAGTCTCTCCTGCTTGTCCTGGGTCTCCCCCACGGTCTCCTCCCAGTTGGACTTGCCTGGAACACCTCACCAAAGCTCATTACCATAGATGAGAGTAGGAACGTAGATCGACCGGTAAATTGAGAACTTTTTGGCTCAGCTCTCTCTACACCAAAACAGATGGTTACAGTACGTGCTTCACAGCAGACGCCGCACCAATCCGCCTATCGATCTCCCCCTCCATCTTTCCCCCATTTGTGAACAAGACACCAAGATACTTAAACTCCTCCACTAGGGGCAGTACATCCTCCCCACTCCGGAGAAGGCGCTCTACTACCCGCGAGGGGTCCTGTGGGGAGCAGAACCTTTGATGTAAAATGCAAAATATATATATATATATATATATATATATATATATATATATATATATATATATATATATATATAATTTTTTTTTTTTACAACCTTGTCATAATAAATGCTCTAAGTGGGTTGCTCTGTCGGCTGAAGGCATGTTTTACAGTCCCTATACTCCAGTTACTGATACCATTACTAAATTAGATGATGATTGTTGCAATAGTCGATTAATCGCGATTAATCCGCTTAACTGTTTCAGCCCTAGTTACAACTGTACAAGCTAGATAGATCTCACATATAGACTCATAGAATTCAATCATTCCTTAAGTTTCCAAACTTATTTTGCCAGTGAACTAATTATCTTTTATTTTTCCTGGGAGTTTTTACCAGCAACACCTAAAAAGAAAAGCCTAAAGCAAATCAGGAGGTGTTATTTATTTCTGTGAACCAAATTGCAGGTAGTTGGCACTTCATTGTCTAAACGTTTTATTGGTTCAGTAGGAAACCGTTCATTCTGTTCCTTTCACACAAAGCTGAATCTGGAACAAAGGTCACAGAAGAATGATTTGTATTTAACCGGTGTTGGTTTTTGTTTGCTTCTATTGGGGTGATAGGACACACTAAAAGCTTTGTTCATTTTGTTTTCATTTTTATTCATCATACAATATATTATGAGGCTTTTATACCATGAGCTGCTCTTAGCTCTATGAGAATTGGTGAATTAATTAAATCTCTCACTGAATGTGAGAGCAGTTTGTGATTGACTTGCTAAATTGAGATACAATTATCCTTAATAAATAACATATCACTCAGCTTTTCAGCCACCTGTGCACACACACACAATCACAGAAAAAGCATATTTAGTCATTTATATGTAAATTCTTTGTAATTATTGCTAATTTCATCATGAAATGTTGCAGGTGTCTTGCCAGCTTAGCAAATTTAATGTTGTTTTCATTTCACATTTTTAATCATATCTATCAGAGAGGTTTTTGCTCTCGCCCTTTTACTCAGTTTTTTTATTTCCTTCAAAGTTGCACCTCTAATTTCTGACCTTTCTCTTGTCCCTGCCAGTTTAAGTGTTGTGGGGCTGAGGATTTTAAAGACTGGAATGTCAACATGTACCACAACTGTCCTGGAATAGGTCCACAAGCCTGTGGAGTCCCACATACCTGCTGTGTTACTACCAAGGTAGGGCTCACACAATTTAGCAACTCATAGTAAGCATGCAAACATCGGTTTACAATTGTACAATTTTCCATATAAAAAACAAGATTCTTAAGGAAGGAAAATAGAAATTCTTATGCATTTCATAATACCACAAATTTTTTGATACATAATGATTCATGCAGGCTTTACGATTTGATTAGTTTATATATATATATATATATATATATATATATACAAAAATGCATTCAATTTACACAACTGAATGAGAAAAATAATTCATATTTTGTAGTTGTAACCATTTATGCTTTTTTACATAGTTTTTTTTTTTTTTTTTTTTTTCATATTTTTATTGTTGTTAAAACAGATGTACAATGCCATTCAGATAATAGTGTTCAACAGTTATTACAATTCCTTTGGCTGTGTACAATATGACAAGAGCCACACAGCATTTCGACATTTTTATATTTTTGTAAACCCCATCCAACCCCAACTAACCCTATGCCGGCAAAAGGAAAAAAAAAAAAAAAAAAAAAAAAAAAAAAAAAAAAAAAAAAGGGGGGGGGTAAATAAATAAATACAAATTTAAATTAGGTTACGTAAATAAATTGGGGGGGGGGATTCTTATCCAAAAATGCAAACACTTTACATTGAGACTTGCTTACTAGTGAGAAGGGAGAGTTGCAAGTTTATCAAAATAACCCAGTAAAGGGCCCCATACTTTATAAAATTTTTTGGTCGATCCCTTCAGGAAGAATTTCACTTTTTCGATTTTTAGGAACATCATCATATCAGAAAGCCACATTGATGCCTTAGGTGGGAATTGGGATTTCCATTCTAAAAGTATTCTCCTTCGAGCAATCAGAGTTGCAAAAGCAATAACATTTGCCTCACTAGAAATCCCTGCATCAACCCCGAAAATAGCCATTAGAGGACTAGGTCTTAGATGTAGGCCAAACGCAACATTCAAAATCTCAAATATTGATCTCCAAAACTCTTCCATCTTAGAGCATGACCAGAACATATGAGCTAAGTCTGCATTGGTGGCTCTGCAGCGATCACATGTATCATCTATTTCAGGGTATATTTTGGCAAGTTTGACTTTACTATAGTGAGTACGGTGGAGAATTTTAAACTGAATCAGGTTGAGACGTACACAAGAAGTAGTCCCATTCACAAGATTAAGAGCTCTAACCCACATCTCTTCTGAAATGGCTGTCCCTAATTCTGCCTCCCATTTTATTTTGATGTTATCTGTTGATACGCTACTAAATGACATGATTAAGTTATATAAATTAGAGATTTGGCCCTTTAAAGTTATGGGGGTCTTTAGTATAACATCCAGTTTTGAATCCTCAGGTAATTGAGGAAATGATGGATTATACATTTGAATAAAGTGACGGATCTGAAGATATCGGAAAAAACTGGATTTAGAAATAGAGTGTTTGTTGGCCAGATCTGTGAAAGTAGGAAAAGTGTTATCTATAAAAAAATCCCTGCATGTGGTAAGACCCCAAGTGTCCCATTGTGTAAAGGTAACGTCAAGATTGGCGGCTGGGAAAAGGTGGTTATTACATATTGGACTTAGCATAGAGAGGTCAGACAGTTTAAATGCCTGCCTGAACTGTATCCAAATTCTCAGTGTTGAACACACTACCGGGCATGAGGAGAACCGAGATGGGGAGAGAGGGAGTTTTGTTGTCAACAGCGCAGGAAGTGTTGACAGTTTACAGAGCTTTGCCTCTTCACTGCACCAACCTGTATCTGGAGCCTGAAACCAGTAAATTATTTTTTGCAGATTCGCTGCCCAGTAATATATCCTGAAGTTTGGGAGAGCAAGTCCACCCCCTTTCCTTGGCCTTTCAAGCAATGACTTACGAAGTCTTGAAGATTTGCCTCCCCATATAAAACTTGAGAGTAATACATCAATTGAACGGAAGAAGGATTTTGGTAGAAAAACTGGGATACTTTGAAACAAATATAAAAATCTAGGCAACACATTCATTTTGATGCAGTTAATTTTTCCAGCTAGAGAGAGATAGATAGTATTCCATCTCTGAAGGTCAGATTTTAATTTTTCCATAATGGGAACGTAGTTGGCTTTGAATAGTTCAGAAAAGTACTTAAAACCGGCATGTGATATACAGAATGGCAAGTCTGTGTCTGGAATCTGCTTTGCTGAATCGTTGATGGGAAAACACACACTTTTTGAATAGTTGATTTTATAACCTGAAAAATCACCAAAATCCGCCAGAATCTTCAAAAGTTTAGATTTGCAGGACAGCGGGTCTGATAAGAAAATTAGAAGATCATCAGCATACAAGGAGGCTTTATATTCCATCCCCATTCTTGTAATGCCATGCATGGATGGTGTTGTTCTAAGTTTAATTGACAGGGGCTCAATCGCTAATATGAACAGTAGTGGGCTAAGTGGGCACCCTTGACGCGTACCCCTAGATAAAGGAAAATATTGTGAACATAAATTATTAGTTATTACTGCAGCCTTTGGGGATGAATACAATAGACGGATCCAAGCCATAAATTTCGGGCCAAACCCAAATCTACCCAGCACTGCAAAAAGATATTCCCATTCCACTCTATCGAATGCCTTCTCCGCATCCAGGGAAACCACCACTTCTGGTCTCACCCCCGACGCTGGAGAGTGCACCACATTCAGAAGTCTACGTATGTTAACGAATGAATGACGTCCTCTCACAAAACCGGTTTGATCATTTGAAATAATATCTGATACTATGGTGTTAACTCGAGAGGCCAGAACTTTCGACAGTATCTTAATGTCCGCATTTAATAAGGAAATAGGCCTATAAGAGCTGCAATCCGTTGGGTCTTTGCTGGGTTTCAGTAAAACTGTAATGAAGGCTTCTGTGAGAGTCTGAGGAAGAGCTTTCTGTTCAAATGAGTATTTAAACATATTAAGAAGCAAGGGGATCAGCTTTGAGGAAAATCTTTTATAAAATTCCACTGGAAAGCCGTCCGGTCCAGGAGCCTTCCCGTTCTGCATTTCTTTGATAGAGCTCTCCACTTCCTGTCTGCTTAGTGGCCTGTCCAAGTTGTCCCTTTGTTCCGGCATAATTGTTGGAGTATTTAGGGTTCCTAAAAAATTAACCATAGAGGAAGTGTCCTGAGGGAACTCTGAGGTGTATAGCGCAGAATAAAATGTTTTAAAAGTATCATTTATTTCCTTGGGATCTATTGTCAGCTGTTGAGGTGTTTTCCTAATTGTTGAGATGAGTTGGGCAGACGATTTAGCTTTTATCTGATGAGCAAGTAGGCGTCCTGCCTTCTCCCCGTGTTCATAAAAGAGTGTACGTGATCTTAACAGGTTCTGTTCGGTCTTTTCAGTGGATAATAAATCATACTTTGCTTTTAGATTTAATTTTTCTTTATATAATTCAGGCGTTGGAGTTGTTGAATATTGTTGATCAATTTTAAGGATAGAATCAATGAGCTCTTCTTGTTTCTGTTTTCTTTTTTTTTTACGTGAGGCTGAAAATGATATTATCTGTCCCCTCAGTACAACTTTGAGTGTTTCCCATAGAATGGAGGGTGATACAGAGTCATTTTGATTGGTTAAAATGAAATCATCTATTGCTTTAGATATGAACTGGCAAAAATCTTCATCTGAGAGTAATGCGGTGTTAAGTCTCCAAGACGGTCTTATTGGGCAGTTGAGTGAAAAGCCAATGTCAAGAATAACAGGTGCATGATCAGATTCTACAATAGCAGAGTAATCTACAGATTTCACAGAGGGAAGAAGACGCTTATCAACAAAAAAGTAATCTATTCTGGAATAAGACTGATGAACATGTGAGAAACATGAGAATTCCCTTTTGTTCGGATGTAAAAACCTCCATGGGTCTACACAACCAAGGTGCATCATAAGATTCAAAAGAGCTCCAGACATTTTGGATTGAGGTGTAGACCTGGGACTTGACCGGTCCATGGCTGCATCCATCACACAGTTCATATCTTCGCCGAATATTAGATGATGGGTGTTTAAATCTGGTAATAAGGTGATTATCTTCCTGAAAAAATCTGCATCATCCCAGTTGGGGGCATAAATACTAACTAAAACCACCGGGGTGTGATAGAGATGACCTGATACTATAACATAACGTCCCTGGGAATCTGGAATTATTTTTGAGGCCGTGAAGAGTACTTTTTTATGGATTATAATCGCGGCCCCACGAGCCCTGCTACCAAATGATGAATGATACACCTGACCTATCCAGGCCTTTCTAAGCAAGGCATGATCTTGTGCTCTAAGGTGCGTTTCCTGCAGAAATGCAATTTCAGTATGCAGCCGCTTTAAGTGTGAAAAAATACGTGCCCTTTTCACAGGGCCATTAATGCCCCTGATGTTCCAGCTAACAAAGCGTACTGCAGACCCTCCAGCCAAATTTGTGCCCACTTTATTCATTATTCAATAAACAAGAATATTGAGCGATGATAAGGCTGGTATATATGGTGCTGAATATCCAAATCGGGATTAAAAAAATAATAAGAAAAAAAAAATAAATAAATAAAATACGGTAAAAAAAAAAAAAAAAAAACGGCGTCAAACCCACCCCTGACCATGTATAAACTAGGTTCGTTTTCTGAACAATCACGAACCGCAGCTATCTCACTGTAGGTAAACTTCCAATAATCCACGCGTTTGTTTCCCCATACAACCTGCTCCCCACTATAGCTCGAACAAGCATACACACTCAACATATTTACTCTGAACATAGATAACATTGTTACTGCCAGTCAGCATAAACAACGGGCATTATTATATCAAGTAGGCAGGATAACTTTAATTCACCGCACTGAAGCACTTTCGAATTACCACAAACAGAATAACTGGCTAACAGAAATATAAATGCGTCTGAACCATGGGATCTGAACAAATAGATTAACCATTTTTCTGGGGCTGTGAACCCCTTAGGTCGTAACGTAACATTAAACCGTTGTCCGTAAGCATTATGCCATCATCTATGAAGGCCATACAGATGGACTTTTGCTTAATTAAAATGCAATGACTCAAATAAACCGACCTTTGAACAATTTGACAATCCCAGCTCGGTGAAACAAGTCCACCCAAAGCTCCGTCGTTTCCAGACCCGTCCGTTTGAGTCTGGATCAGGTAATTGGAACGGCAACCCGGCGATCATAGAACTGCTTTGCTGCTTCTGGTGAATGGAAGATGTGCGTCTCATCCTCAAACTGAACACGAAGACGTGCTGGATATAGCAAACTAAACTTTATCTTCTTCTCATATAGGAGCTGCTTGATGTTTTTAAATGCTGCGCGCTTCTTCACCAGGTCTGCAGACAAATCCGGATAAATCCTCAATTTGGAGCCGTTAAACTCCACATCGTGCGACCGGGCCCACCGCAATGTCTTTTCTTTTTCCTGTAGGCGAAGAAAGCACACCACAAAGGGACGGGGCCGCTGTCCTTCTTTAGGTCTTTGGCCTGGGGAGCGATGTGCCCGTTCCAGCTCCGGAGGGTTTTCAAAGACCTCTCGGCCCATTGCTTGCATTAACAGGTCGGATACAAACTTCACGGTTTGCTGGCCCCTCTCGCTGTCCTCTGGGACGTTCAGTATCCTCAGGTTTGCTCTACGGGAGCGGTTTTCCAGGTCATCCACTCGTTCGAGCAGTGTTGCGTTTTGCTCCTCCAGGTGTTTAATTTTCCGGTCAGCTGCGGATATCGCACTGAAGTTATCCCCTGCCAGAACTTCAGTTGCGCTCAGCCGTGCTTGAAAGCTATTAACAGTGTCTGTCAATGCATTCACGGAGGACTGGAGCGGGGCAATCGACTCACGAATCAAAGCAGAAATGTCCTCCCTTAGCGAAGACCTTTGTTTCGACAACTCGGCTACTAGTTGACTCACGGAAACCCCCTCGGCGCCTGTAGTGGCTCCATCGATGTGTGGACTAGCGCTAGCCAAGGCAGCTACCTTGCTAGCTATACTAGTTCGGGTTGTTGGCGGCGCGCTGGTCGGCTTGTTCTTGCTCATGGTGCCAAAGTTGTTGGCTTCTTATCCTCTTTTCTTTCTTATCTGGTACAAATAGAGTGAAGTGCCCTGGGTGGCACTTTTAAAAGTTAGTTTTTAAAAGTTGAGTGGGGAGCTCTGCCTTCTCGCGTCCTACCTCTGCATGGCCAAACCGGAAGTCCTTTTTTACATAGTTGTTCATATTCTCTTTAACTCACTATGAAAAAGGTATGTCCTGTTTTTGCAAAGGTTAAAGGTATAGTGGAGGCTTTTGTTGACAGCATTTTTTTTTTTTTTTCGTTTTAACAAATACTTTAAATTAAAAGCTTCTGACATATTCATGGAAAGTTTAGTAGAAGGAAGAAAAAAACATCCAACACATAGCCTTGCTCTAAAGCAGGGGTGTCAAACTGGTTCCAGAAAGAGCCGAGTGGCTGCAGGTTTTCTTTCCAACCAAGCAATAGCACACCAGACTCCAGTCATTTCATAATGTCATCATGTTCAGATTGGACTCACTTGATGAGATGATAGGAGTCTGGTGTGCTATTGCTTGGGTAGAAAGAGAACCTGCAGCCACTCGGCCCTTTCTGGAACCAGTTTGACACCCCTGCTCTAAAGGATTGTAATTTTGAGAAATTTGGAGATACTCACAAGATCTGGCTCCATTTAGTGCTTCAAGAAGTAATTTCTAGAAAAACTAACATTTGTCTTAATGAAACCATGAAATTCACCCTTTGAATTGAATGAGTTAAATAAATAGATTGAAGTTTTACTGTGAAGTGACAGTATAAATAAATTGGTCTTTATTAGGTTTACATTGCGATGCCACACACCATGAACTATTTATTGTCAACATATATTAACACAGATGCAAACCTAAATTGGATTTATACATGAAACTGAATCCTTGAATGTAAATGGGGGGGTCTAATTTATTTTTGATTTGAATAACAACACCCATGTCCATCAATAAGTGCAAATGTATTCATAACTCTAAAAACTTCCAGGATTTCTGACTAGTATATCATATTATCATTAAACAATCCACTTAACAATGGCAAAAGACACATTTAATCTCCCTCTGGTTTTTGTTTTCCAACATAAATAAACATGTACATGTATGAATAAGGAAAACTCAGTGATCAGACCTAAACTAATGCTTATACACCAATGCCTCATGCTGACAGGCAGGCCAGGCAGTCATGTTATTAGCATTGTAGCTATCGTTATATAAGTATGAACAAAAAACTTAAAAACAGCCTTCTTACTTTTTATACTCAATTAAATGTTTACTTTTATTCCTAACATTATATATCTTTATCTTTCCTTCTTTTCCTAACAGCCTAATGAAGTGGTCAACTCTCTGTGTGGAAACGGGGTACAGAACCAAACGGTAAGATATCGTAGAAATATAATTACTAAGGTCATAAAGTTTGAACGCTTTAAAATGAAAATAAAAATTTCTTTACTTCATTATCTGGTTTTCTATTCATCTCTTCTTTTTTATGCACAACACAATTATTTAAACTGCCAATTAAAGGCAAATTGTTTAAAACTCTGGAAACAGAAGCAGAGGGTTTTCATGTAGTACCGTCTCCATGGCAGCTGGATGTAACCCAACATCTACTGCTGCGTATTCAGCCACTCATTCTTACCTCCATAGCCATAAATCCCTGCAGGATCAAGTGCAAGTTGGAATCAAAACTTTTAAGTAATCACTTAAGATGGAATGCGATGCAAGAGTGCCCATGTTTTGCATTAAAAGAAACAATCTTTGCTTTAACTTTTATATTTAAAATCAATGCAGCAACTATAAGGATTTTTTTTTTCTTTTGCAGCGGATAGAATTGCTGGATGTCATCCATGTGAGAGGCTGCACTGATGCGTTCTTCATCTGGGTGACCGACAACTATAAGAAGATGGCCATACTATTGTTAGTTATCTTTCTGCCCCAGGTACAAACACATAGTAGAGCACTTGATTCACTCTCTAACAGTTGTATTGGTGTTAATGATGCCCAACACAAGCGGTTCCTCCATTTGGAACTGTGGACTAATTACTTTTACTTAAAAAGTACAAAGAAATGCTCAAATGAACCTAATGTTTAAATACAGAGATATAATATGATCATTTATTAAAAAAGCTGCTCATAAAGGTTAATAAGTGCATAAAACTGTGCAGCTGAGTGGAAGGTGTGATGTGGAAATGTATATGTTATGCATTACTGAAGTAACCCAGGGAGAAATTGTTCTAATTGAAAATGAGCAATTTTATAAAATGTGTTGGAAAAGTATTTGGTATCAATTCTTGTTTCCTGGAGCTGCACAACGATTAACGACTGCCCTTAATTCTTTGCACTTTACCATTTGCTCTATGTAGCACAACTACATTTTGATTACTTTGTCTTTAAAAAGCCTGAACTATTAACGATCATATATAGAATCAGTTATTCTGCACACAAAGCATTTTGTATTTAACAAAGAAAGGTTATTTGAGGTCTCGTCCGTCTCCATTGGTGCCAAGACTTCTTGTGGTTGCCTTTCAACTTTAGTCTTAACAATCTTCCATAAAAATCTGATTATTGAAGTGCACAACTAATAACTTTTATGAGGACAGATTTTTTTGCCTAAGCTGTGGATCTCTGCATCTCCTCCAGATTAATCATTGGACATCTAGCCGCTTCTTCTCTTATTATTGATCGCCTTCCTCAACCTGTTAGTGCAGGTGGATGGCTCCTCCACAGCTGGGCTTTTCTCTAAAATATTAAAAGCTTGGGGTATTGTCTGAGCACCATAACCTTCTTTAAATCTCTCCACAGCTTAGGTTTGCTCTTCATAAAGCTGTTGGTTTGATTATGTTCTGCAATAAACCCCTGAAGCCTTTATAGGCCAGCTGATCCAATGACCCAAAAGTTCAATTTACTAACTTCGTAATTTCTGCAGTCCTTTGTTTTCACTTTACTTTATTTAAGGGTATTGAGGGATATAGATATGATTTTCTTTCTTTGCCAAGTAAGTGTGCAATGCTTTGTGTTTGTCTGTCATAAAAGAAACCCCATAAGATATGTTGAATTGAAATTTGATTGTTGTTAGGTTTGCTGGCATCACAGAATGACACCTTTAAATTGTGACATGTTTATTTTTACACCCACCAACATTTTCAACTCTCTAAGTTCCTCCTTTGCTGACCAAAAGGTGTAAAATGCTTAGTCAAAATCCCTCCCACACACCAAGATGAGAGACACTTTAAACAGTCATAACACATCTGTGAATCAGAAGCACAACATTTAGGATCAGACATTTAGCCATGTTTTCCAGCCTGTGATGCAAATTGGATGACTAAATGGCTGAACGTATATATCCACCCCCAGTGAATTTGACAACCTTACGTCAACAGGAGCACAGAAGGCAAGTTGCAACAACATGCTGCTTCATTTCCTTTACATTTCCAGTGCATTTCCATATTTTCCATTTATTGTTGTGTTGGCTGAACGGCCCTCTGGAGTAACTGACTCTTACTAACCTACTCTAGGCTTTTATAATATATATATATAAATATTATTTATTTATTTTTTTATTCACATCCAATCTTCTACACTTTGGGTAAAAGATGGATTGAAGTTTTTTTTTCCTCTTGACATTTCTGCCTTTGTACCTCTTTCTGGAAATTATGCAATGCATTAAGATATGAGCCCTTCAACAGCTATGAATATATGAATGTTGATTGGCTAAGACTGTAAGAAGGTTGCTGGATGTCACAGAGCTCTTTCTGTAAGAAGGTTAAAATGCCAGCTGGCAGTCATCCATAGTATATAATGGGGTTTTCTCATTATTGTTATTTATGTTCAGATGGCACCAAATATATTAATCTGTTCCTTCACTTAGAAGACTGTTTCATTTTCCCCTTTTCATTTCTGTTCCAAGTGTCAAGACTCAGCTTAATCTAAAGTATTGTTCAGAAGAAATTTCCTGCAGATGCAAAATCATTTGCATGCCTACAAAACAGGCAACAGTACATAACAGTCATTATGCTGTTTGTTGGCTGGATTGTCTTCACAAGGAATCTGGCAAAATACAGTTTCTGGGATGTCCAAACACCAAACCCTTTTCCCTCTTCCTATAGAAACCAAAGGGATGGCAATGGTGGCGAATAGAAAGAGAAGTTTAAAAAAGTATTAAGCACAAATTCAAGCCGCTGGACTCTTCTGCAGATTTTTGTATGACATTGACCTCCTAAATCTTGCCTAAATAGAATAGAATAGCATAGAATTCAACTTTATTGTTATTACATTGTTACAAGTACAAAGCAACAAAATTTGCTCTCTGCATTTAACCCATTCCCTTGGAGAGCAGTGGGCTGCAATTGTGTGGTGCCCAGGGAGCAGTGTTTGGGTTAAGGGTGTTGCTCAGGTACCCAGAGTGGCAGTCCGTGCGAGTGGAGCTTGAACTCAGAACCTCTGGCATCCAAGCGCAATGCCCTAAACACTAGGCCACAAAATAGGTATTAAATGTGAGGCTATGATTTAGGCTCTTCTTTTCAAAGCCTTAGAGTTCAGCTGAAAGAACCCTGCAAAGCAAATGGAATGGTAGTTGGCAGAGTTAATCCACATACCAGTAGGTCTTGCACATTTTACCTGTGAAGCTAAAATGCTCTATAATATCCAATAAAGTTCTGTTTGGGAGCTTAGGGTACATGGTTGTTACCGATGTGCTGGCTACATCTAACTCTAGGGGGTCTGGCAGTTTCTTCAGCTGGAGAAGAGAAGACAGACTGTAGGTCCCTGTCTAGAGCAACACAATGCAATTTTTATGGCATGAAATATTGTTTAAATAACTAAAGCCCATCAGTCTTTCTTGTGTATGGTGATATTCAGGTCCTTTCAAAGATCTGACAGCAGCACTATGCTGAGATGTTTCTCAATATCTTTAGTTCGGTCACTGTCACTAACTTTAACTCTTTAGAACTAACTATAAGTTTCACTTTGTATTGAAACCAGGTGTGCATTTTTTTTTTAGATACAAATAGCAAGTATTTTTGATTTTGGATCCAAAATCCACTTGCTCAAAATTTTAGAATGTTTTTTCTACTAATACCTTTACATTTTTAGTGCATAAATGTACAGTGCACAGGCTTTAGACTGTCTAGAGTCTAGACTTGCACAACCAGCATGAAGATGATCAGCCTGACTCATACTTGTCAACAGAGATTTTATTTTAATCCGTGGATCGGCCCATAGTGTTATTGTCATTTCTTGATTTGTATCTTAAACCTGATGAAGGGACCTTATTCTGAGAATTATGTTTCTTTGACATTCAATTTATTTTTTAAGGCAATCGAAGAAAAAAAAGCAGCAGTTGAAATGAGTACTGGACGGGTAAATAATAAGGCATATACACTGAAATGTATTTAGTTTGCAGTTTTGTACATCAAATTAAAAAGTGTGTACCACTGACTGCCACCATCTAAATTAATAATTTCCAAATACCATGTACCAGAAAACAAAAACAGCAAATACATCTTCTTCTTCCTGTGTTCCAGCAGGCTTTATACCAATGGCGGCTGGCCAATAGAGAGCACTAGGGTGCCACCCCACACCCAATGACCCTGATTAAGACATAAAAAAAACGTTCTATTATTTTTTCTAATTTCATGTCAAATTAAAATGTAAAATATTTCGAATATGAATATATATATTTTTAGATGTTCAAGATAAACATTTAATCTTTAATGACTAGTAAAGCGTAATTAAATTTTTTTCGTTAAATTGGTGATGCATTTCCGCCTTAGGGCATAAAAATCTTTGCCCATTGACTTTCGTTAAAAGTTGTACATGCGCAGTAGATCCTCTGCAATGCAAAGGTATGGGAGGGCTCGGGGCGCAGGAGAGCTGCGCCCTGAGGTGACAGGAAGTGAATTTGCTCACCACCTCCCGCCACAGCGCAGATTTTTCGATGTTGATTGACATGTCGAGTCGCGGAAGTCAGTGATGCATTTGAGAGACAGAGAAATGGTACAAAAATGTCCTTTTCCAGGACCAGGTTTAGCAAGAAGACTTGGCCAACTGTATTTAGCGAGGCTTGCACTTTATTCTGCTTTCCGTTTTTTCACAGGACAACACCATGGGGGCCAACTTGGCTACTTCTTTACTAAAAGAAAAAATAAGTTTTAGCAGCAAATATTTATTTGATTGACAAAATGAAATTTCACAGAAATGCCAAATACTGGACATGAAATGATCAGTAATGATTCCAGTGAGCAAATACTTGCTTTCTTGGTTCCCCCTGCAATAGATAGTCTAGTTCTAATATCTCCTTACCTGTGCAAACCCATCATTCTCTCTGCTGCTGGCCTTAAGTCCATCACTTTCCTGATTCTTCTCTCCCCATCATGGCAATAAACACAAAAAAATGTAGAAAGCTACATTTTGAGATAAAATTAGGAAGAGAAGCAGTACAACATGCTGTGGCATTTAACTTTAAAATCACTTTAATGCCATTGTTTTTTTGTTTTGTTTGTTTGATCTCTTTCCCAACCTAAATACTTATTTCAAATATGTGGAGAGCAAATGTGAGCACAATGTCTGCTCAGAAATTAAAGTGGATTGGGTTTATTCGAAGAATAAACTAATGAGTGAGTAATGTCAGAGGTAGCAAACTTTTAAACGACTAACTAGCTTAACATGTTGATATATTAGCATGTTTTTCATTCATCATTTAACCAACAAGTCTCATTTGCAAACAACATTACACATCTTACACCGTTTGTTGGGAAAAAGCAGTGCAAATTGTTTCTTGCTGGTTTGCTAAAAACTCTGATGCTCGCTTTCAGCTCTGCTCAACCTCACGTCTGGTGTCAGTCTTCTGCTTTATCATGTATATGGTCATGGTGCGTTCAACGCACCACGGCATGCATTCACGGTTCAGAAAAAGCATAATAAGGGATTTAACTGTTGTTACAGCTGAGAAAGCACCAGGGACAGATAAGGGAAAATCTGGGAGAAATGTTGCAAGCTTACATGTGTTCGTTTTGCCCATAGGGCGATAGTGGCGTCAGATTCAGGAGCTTTTCTTGCAACTGAATGGTTCAAACTCAGTGTTGTTGTGTGCTTGGGCAAGACACATCACCTGCAATGCCTTCTGATGGTGAGCCCCAGTACAGCTGTGGCTGCAATGTGGCTTTCCACCATTAGTGTGTGACTGAATGTAGTGTAAAGCGCTTTGGTCAAGTCAGGAGACTTGACCAAAGCACTAGATAAGTACAGGCCATTTAGACGTATAAAGCGCTCTTAAAATTTCTTAGCGTTATACTCTGCTAGATTTTGACTTGAATTTTAAATCTTCTGGATCACAGTTTTTCCTTTCACTCAATTTTCCAAAAGAATCCACATACATACAGCTTTTTTAACATCTTACCTAAGCAATAATTTTTATTTTTACCACTTGTTGTGAACTATGCCAATGAATTTATGTTGGAAAGCTGTCAAGCTAGCAGTCATCATCATGGTTTAAATATAACTTTTTACTGGTCAATATGTTTCCCTTAGAAAATAAATTTATTTTTAACACCTCTGAATAATATCATCAAATGAAAGGAAATAGACACATATCAAATGTATCACTTTGTGTAATGGATTTTGTGGTTTCTAAATTTAGTTTCTAAAACCTGTACAAATGTTCTACAATTTACAGTTTGTTAAAAAACAAAGTTGTTTTAATTTCCAAAAAGGTGATAAATATGACCATTCTCTGCTGATATATTTTTTTCACTTCCAATGTCCTATTTTTCTGTCTATGTTTAGTTTTTTGGGGTGATCGTCACCTGGCTGTACATGACTCGGGTTGAAGATGCCATCGCAGAGTACGGCCACTATATGGATGGACCCCGACAGGATCTTAAGAAACAAAACCGTGTTTCCAAATGGTTTTTGTGTATGCCAGAAATATGAAAAAAAAACACTGACTCCAGCCAACTGACTCATAGTTAATTAAACAGAATATGTACAATTCAATTCTTTTCTTTTTTCTGTACCCATTTCTTTTTCTTGTTTCCATTGTACCTCAGAAGGACTCAGGGATGATTTTCTTTTTTTCTAATGGGTGAATTTTTTTCACTATCCAGTGACTTGCCTTAAAATGTTCTTGATTGAAGCCAAGTTGAAACCTTCACATGTTCTTTCCTTTTTAATGGTAAGTCCTTCAAGGTTTTGCTTTTATAAAACTTGGTCAGTTAACAAATGCAATATTGATCAAGCTTTTTCGTAGTAAAATGTATTGAACTTGCCTTAAATGTATGTTTTATTGTTAGAGACAATATTAGAAATAAAGCTTTTGCTCTTACTGCCCACAAGATGGTATTCTCAGGTTAAGCCACAGCAGTCAATAAACTTTTCCTTACGTTAACAAAAATTATTTTATCTCCTAATAATAAACTAAATTCATGCTTTTTTACTGTATTTTAGTAGCAAACAAACATGTTTGTTTCTAATGGTGAAAGGCAGGGAAAAGTTTCTGGCATCATTCAATCTCCAAAATTAACTTCTCTGTTATATTTGTAAAAAAGAAAAAGAAAATATAGATTACACAAAAATATTTGCTCTGGTTGCATTGTCCTAACATGAAGCTCAGGTTGTTTTGTTTTTTTGTTTTTTTTGTTTTTTTTTATGTCCCTTATCACTATGTTTACCTTGCATGGTGTGAAGTGGCTAAACGAAATAGACCTCAATGTTACGTTATATTTATACTCCAGGGAAATGGGAAGTGTTGGTTTTCTAATTAAAATAAAATTAAAAAAAATCTTAAAGAGCATCTTTCAAATATTTAAATGGAGTTGTTCATGAATGTCTCACTGACTTTTGTATTTAAAAAGTAGAATCACAAAAAACTAGGTAATAATTTAAATGGATACACTTATTAATACATGCATTTAAATTACATTTTTATGTAATACTTATACTGAGCCTGAAAAGAATATGTAATCCCAGAGCAATTAGACATTTTTACTACAGCTCAGTTATTCCACATTTAATATTTTTTTTTATTTTAAAATAGTCTGCCCCTAATCTTTCTGAAATCAATATTCAGTGTAATTATGCGGTGCTTCATTTTTACTTGTGATGTATTTTTAAGGTCACAATGTAGGTTCTTTCTGCAGTTTCTTTATTAGATTCATATTGTTTTATTTTGTTGGTAATTTAAAAACTGGAATCTGAGAGGATTACACTTTGATTTAAAACAAACAAAAAAAAAGGTTTTGATGTTTTTGTCTGACATTGCTCTGAAATAAATACTTGTATTCATTGTTATTTTCTGTATGAGGTGGGGTGATACTTTAATTATGGCTGAACTACTTCTGCACAAAGGGGATTTTTAACCTTATTTAAAGCCAGGTTGAAAGTTCAGGCCATTCTAACGAAATATGGGATTTGTCATTCATACAAACTGTGAAGTAAATCTTGGCAAATTGTTTTTTTTAACTTCTTTTTGACAGTGAAGTTCCCATAATCTGATTTTTTAAGAATAAGATAGGTTTGTTTGTTCAGTTCAAACATGTTTTGCTTTTTTTGTTGTTTTTTTCTCCTAAAACCATAAACCTACAGTTATATTGCACATAGAGTAGCACTCCAATCCTACGCTTTCTACTTTCAGTATACTCTAATTAAAACCCACATAGTAATGACTTGCAAGGACAGATGGGATTTTCTAACTAATATGAACATTACAGCCTCAGTTTATTGAGGCATATTTGTAATATTTTTCTTTTTATTTAATTTGAACATGCTGTAAACTTTTTACTGACGAAGATTCTGTAAACATGAAAGAGTCAAAGCAAATTATTTCTCTTTAAACAACGTAGGATCAGACAATTTTACTTTTTGTTTGTTTTTGTTTTTTCATGTCTTTCATGGTAGTTTTACCCCTTGAACATTTTCAGAATTTATTTAACCTCAAATTTTGATTTGTTTTACCAGGATTTTAGGATAGAATATTACATAAGGGTTCGACCTGATTTTATCTCTGTTTATCAGATGAAAACACAGATCGGTCCAGCAAGCCAGTTTTTGGAAATGTACCACCTTTACTAGAAAACCTAAAAAAATCGGATTCAGACATCTCATCGATCTTATCAAACAAAATGAAAAAATGCATTGCAATTCCTCTTTGTAATGTTTCAGAAAGCCAAGCAGTATAAACACTTTTATGGTGCACTGTACAAATATACTCTAAGTACTGTGAATAGAATCTGATAACTTCCATGTGTCAAAGGGTTAAAGTTAATGATGCTCAAGAATGGTGCCACCTTAAACTGGAAGATTTGGCATAGTTTGTTTCCTGAGTGTTAAATAAAAACCCATGCATGGTGCCATGTTATAGCCTGTCTTTGTTTTTTCATATAATGCCAATACAAAAGCATTTTCTAAAGAGATTTTTAGAGGTTGCCTGCTGTTTAATAAATAATCATTGCTATCATACTGTGCGTTTTCTGGAATATCCTTTGTATTTTTTACATTTTTCATGTCAAAGTAAGAAAGCTTTGCATCTGAACTTGTATTATGCATGAGGGGGGGAGGAAACTGAGGGCATTGTAAGCACCTAACTAAGAATTTATTTAGTAGTTAAATTACACAAATTCACAACACACATTTTAAACAGGCACTTTAAAAAGCCTACTGTAATTTATTTTTTAAATACTGAAAAGAAGAGAAATGAACACTTCAGGAGTCCTTATGTTTGATACCATTTCAAGTTTCCACATTAGAGTTCATATTACAAGCAACACAAGGGACCATCTGCTCTTCCTCTCAGAAGTGGTTCTGAATAAACATACTTCTTCAGCTGCTTTCCACATAAGAGCAGCATGTGTGATAAGTGAGGAGTGTCCAGAGTAGTTTGCCATTTATCCGTCTTTCTCTTCCTTCCTTTCACTCCTGCAGCTCTCTGGACTTCCTGCTCAATGAAACTCATTAATATTTTACTACACACACACACACACACATATATATATATATATATATATATATATATATATATATATATATATATATATATATATATATATATATATATATATACACCATAAAAATAATTATCTTCCTGCATCACCAGTAAGAAAGAGGCAAACTGCTGGGATTTGAGTTTGTGGTTCTCTGTTACAACAGAGTAATACAGCTTTCATACAAGACAGCTTTAGGCTGTGATGTCAGATCAGATGATTATCACTTTTTATTCTGTGTTTTATAAATGGCGACAAGCTAACATCAAACAAGTTTCTTACAGATTACTAGGCTTGCTAATGTGTCCACCCCAGTCATCCATTCGTCAAACCCAAGATATCCTCTGGTATTTGTCATTGGTGGAGTCTCAATAACTATCTGCAGTATCTATGTGGCAGCATAACTCCCTCCCCCTCCAAAATATCCCCACCAAGAACAGTCCCCTGAAAAGGCCCATGCTGCCAAGTTAGGTCGCAGGGCAGCATCTGAGTCCCACCCCAAGGTGAAACTGACAGAATGCATCCATGTGCTTCCCTTTGCAACCAAAACCAGACCAGACCCTGCCAATCCAGTCCAAGCCATGCCCCTGTTAGGTTGGAAATAAGGCTGCAAAGCACAGAGGGCCATTTGCTGTGTATTAATATTGTTCTAGTTCAAAGCAAAAACGTGAAGTTTTTACTTCCAAACTATAACATATATAATTTGGAATTTTCAAAATAAAAGTCTGGTCATTTTTCTTCTTCCTCTGCAAATATGGAAAAAAGAAACTGCAAACCAATATCTAAGTGTAAGCTTATGAGAGAGGAGAAAAGAATATATTCAGCCCTTTAAGGCTGGTTTATTTCCCAAAAATCATAGATTGGGGCAAGGCAAATTTATTTGTATAGCACAATTTAGTACAAAGACAATGCAAAGTGCTTTACGGGATTAAAATACAATCGTATTTTAATCATGTAAAAATATATGCTGGTAGAAGACCACCAGGTTAATCACTTTAAACGATATAATATGAGGCAGGAATGCTTTTAAATGAAATAGACTTGTTGCTATTTATGCAACCTACTGCTTCATTTAAACCAAAACCTCAGACTCCAAGCGCTGTGGAGGAACATTTTGGTCCAATTATACATGCAGTATTACTGCAAGCAGATGAAAACAAAAGCGGTTATATCAATTATCAATGCTAACGTTTGTGGAATATGTTTCTATTTGATTTCCTTTACTTGAGTTGTGAAACAAAATTCACATAACCAAAGTGGTACTGAAGATATTTATTGTAAAATGTTTTATTTTAAATGTCCTTCCTTATCAAACAGAAGGGAAAGGAACTGTGTTTATTTGAGTTTTTCTTTATGATAATTGCTGTGGTCCAACTGATTTGCTCATTTCATTTCTCTTAGCTGATGTGTATCGATGTAATTTCAGTTCTTCAGTCTGGTATTCAGTCTTTTGTCCCACTTTCACTTCTTTTTCTCAGCTCTTCTCTGTAAAATACACAAGGAGGGGGATGAACAAACTAAAGTAAGCTTTGTGATTTTAACACATCCTTATATGACTATATTTCCCTTTTACAAAAACACACAGGCTTTGTTTTAAATCAGACTTTTCACTGCTCGTTTAGTTTTACAGTTTGTTTAGGGTTCCCCTCTGGATATACACTGTGTGGATCACTTCTCCAGCTTCTGCCTCCTTGTTAATCAACAATGTTTATGTGGCTTTGTGTGGGCCAGTCCATCTATTAACCTAGGACACCAACTTGTCCGAAATAGTTTTTTGTTAGCATATCTTTTATCACATAGTTTATACACCGTTTATGATCAAACGCTCTAGACTTCTTAAAAGTATTTCATTTAACACAGACTGGAGGTTTTGTTCTTTTGGGAATGAAGGGTGTGTTTTAGATGAAGCCACAGTATTCAGACTTTAACTACACCACTTCCTCATTTATTTTTTGTTTTTTTATTTTGGGTGAGCTAGGAATTTCCACATATCCTGGCTTAACTAAGCCTTGACTCAGTTTCACAGAAGCAGTAATGTAACAGTTACCATGGTGATTTAATTTTTCCAGCTGGCATGCTTCTTATCAGTCTTGTGTTCAGTTAGCGTCACTCAGAAATAAATTGGTTTTAATCACCAAGTCTGTTCTCTTATATGCATGTTTTCGTACTTTTTTCAGCCTACATTAGAAACAGCTGGTACATTTGTATAGGAAATCCACTCACACAGACCAAAATCTTCTTTTTGAATCACACCACCCACTAGAAAACAAACTTTCTGTCATCAGAACCTTACAAAACCGGGCCGAGCATGTCCCTATTAAACCCGAAGGTAAGCGCAAAGAACAGAAATTCTCCAAACCTCCAAGCACAAAAGCATCACCATCCCATATGTTGCTGGAGTCTCTGAAAACTCAAGAGGATTTTCTCCAAACACAAAGTCCCAGTACATTTCAAACCAAACAACCCTTAAACAGAGACTAGTGCATCCTAAAGACCTGTTTTTTTGGTTAAATTTTCATGTTTTCTAAGCCATAAAAAGACTTTGTTTATGCCACCCTATAAGCCTGGAACTCAAACCCTACTCCAGACATTTTGAATTGAGAAAGCTTCCTGGATGGGAAGTGAAACATCTTCAAACTTGGAAAGCAAAGTCCAGTGTTTTTTTTTTGTTTTTGTTTTTTTACCTTTTTTAATTTTGTTGGAAAGCTGATAGAAATGTTATACAGTCAAATACTTGAATTACTTTATTATTATTGTGGCTTTATTATTATTGTGGCAGCTTCTATTTATATTTTACATATGGCCCGTCTTAGATGGTTTGGATCTCAACAAAGGAGGGATAGTGAGTATATGAGTAGAAGGATGTGGAGGCTGGAGCTGCCAGACAGGAGGCCTGCAGGAAGACCAGGGAGGAGATTTATGGATGAAATTGAAGAGGACATGAAGGTAGCTGTGTGACAGAAAAGATGTAGAAGAATGGGTTAGATGGAGCCAAATAACTCGCTGTGACAACCCCTAAAACAAGACAAGCCAAAAGAAGAAGAACCAATACCTCTTTGCTTCTGTAAATGTGTGAGTCCATCATTAGAGCTTACTTTAGATTAATTATTAGCCATCTGAGACTGATTATCTATTAAGTTTAAATATTTATTGTTTTAGCATATTATTTCACTCTATATAATATACACTAACATTCAGTGATAACACAAACTCAGAAACACAGAACATTTTTGAAGACTGTGTATGTCAAATAAAAGAATGCAAAGAAACTTCCACAGTTTATACAGAAAGTGACAGCGTGAGGGTGTGTGCTGGTCATACCAGGGACACATTGGCTCAGCCTCCGTATTATTCACACATTTCCCTTGTCACACTTAGCAGACATAAAGCAGGACACTTACGTCAGCAAAAGCAAACACAGATGCACACAGAGTTCATCTCCACCCACCTTCTCAACTTCTTTGCATAAAGTGTGCTGCATGAAGCAAATGGTCCGAAATCTTGAAATCCAAAATGTTCTCTGACTTAGAGCATCCATTAATAAAATTCAGATTACAGTTAGAGAGCTGGGAGAGAACACCTTTGCAAGTACGAGATAAAATGAAGCTGTGGCTGGAGAGGGCATCTGAAAGAAGCAGTGAAAAAACATAGCTTGGATCTGTCCAGCTTCATAATGGGATACTGAAGGGAATGTGTAAATTAATATGCTTTGAGCCATTAGCTCATGTCTGAATAAATCAAGAGCTGATGAGAGCTCAAAATAACATTTTGGCTTATGGCTTTAGATTTCTTCACATCAATATAATTTAATTTGTCAAAGAAGAATGGTTGCTATCAAGGCTGTAATTTTCTAGAAAGAAAAATGGTAGAAAATCCTAATTAGCTGCAATCCTATTTAGTTTAGACCATAAAAGAACACCACCTCAGTTTGCGTGTTCCCACATTAACATACTGTAGATATAAACATTTAGATATTGACATTTAAATCACTGTCCAGTAAAGCGTGGGTCATTGCTCTTCATTTATTAGTCTAGGGTGGACCAATGTGTCTGACTCTGACATTTTAAACATAACTAACCAACATAATCACCTTTTGTGGCAACTGCAGATTTAGAGCTACATCTTTCTGTATAACCCACATGAAATACTCTACTCTGTTTGAGACTTGAGTAGCAACACATACACAGACAACAGCTTCATGTAAATCTCATTTATCAGTCTCGTTCGTGATCCGATGCTGACATTTAACTCAGACATCAGCACTCAATAAGCAAACAGCAGGAATAAATGAAGCCTGAAAAACAATGAACAATCTTCAGCGAAAGCTACAAGATGGAGCATTAAAGAAATTATTGATTGAACATCCTTTTTAGTTTGGCTTTAGCCAATTAGTGCCTTTCTATGTGAGGTTGATGATTTCAGCTCTGCTTCACGGGTGCTGAAGTATTACCAGCCATGTACATGGCACAGGAAAGAG